ATCACACTCAGGGACGTTATTCTTCACATAGAAACAGCTAAGGTACATCAAGTCATGTGTGAAATTTTAGAATTTTTACCATACAAATTAACATGTATGATTATATGATTGATAATTTTACAACACATACATTTGTGCCAAAAATTTGGGCGAATGGAATATATTACATGTATTTGCGCAAAATTATATGTTTTGTAGGTAAAGTACAGCTTTAATTCTGTTACAAAATTATAGGAGAGGCTAAGCAACTTGCCTTGACAAAAGTTTTTGGCTGGCTGCAAAAATCAACTAAATTACATTTATACTATTATAGGTGTGATGTTGTGTTGGAATCCCGGGTTCTTTGGGATGTTGCCTAGAGAGACTTTAACGAAGAAGTAACAGACGCAGGACACAAATTAAAGCTTTGCCGTACAACATTGCCGGGGGACTGAGACTCTCAATCGTCGACTCTCGCCTCTCAGTCTCACCAACTGTCGACAACTGTCTGTCCTTTCCACAGTCCCACGGCTTGCTTTTTATTCATTTCTTGCAGACACAGACAGCATGAATCCATTAAACAAGCTGCTGTTTTTTTGCAGTTAAGCCGCCCACTGTTGGCGTTACTACACTACAGGCAAGCCTAATCTCATCCCAAAGATGGTATCAAGGTAGAAATGATTTTTTATGTTCAAATTTATCTGCAATTTTGAAATATTTTCTGCAAATTAACACCTTTGAAAGCCCTGACCATAGAAAATTGCATGTTGGCAAATATTTGAAAATATATATCATGCAACTTGAAAAATGCCTGCATATGTAGTATATCATTAAGTCAGTAGTATGCACAAAAGCTCCTGAACAATATTATACAGACACAATTAAACCCATATCCTGACATTGCAGGTTGCTTAATTTTTCTTCTGTAACATTGAAAATATTTATCTGCAAAATGCAGACTGGAATTGGTATATATTGTAAATATTGTAATATAATTTATAGAATATAAGCCATTGCAGACAGAGTACAGGAGGCTAGAATAAGTATATAAAGCCCTGACTCAAACCCGTACAAAATTGCATGTTGGAAAATATTTCACATGCAATTTGAAAAATGCATGCATAAATAGTATATCATTAATACAATACAATTGAACCCATATTGTGACATTGCAGGTTGCTTAATTTTTCTTCTGTAACATTTAAAACATTTATCTGCAAAATGCAGACGGAAATTGGTATTTCTAACATTGTACAATAATTTATAGATTAACATACAACATCCAATTCACTTCAAACAAAAAGCATTTCGTTTCAGTGAGGTCTTTCAGATAAACTAGATTGTGAATGGCTTGCAACAACTTTCATTTTTTGTCCAATACCCCTACTTTAAATATTTCATTCTACAATTACAGGTTCTTATTGCGCGGGATTGGAGCTGGGACCCCACCCACCCGGGAGGGGCACGTCATCAGCAGATGACGCTCTAACAGGATTCGAGCCTCCTGTACCCTGTCTACAATACTTCTAGTAGCAACGCGCAGGGTATTGAACTCCTTGTGAGTGGATTCAATGCCTTGCTCTCCAAAGAAGCCCAGGCCAAAGCCATACCTCCTCATCAGAGGCACAACATGAGACTCAAGTAAGTGCATTTTAATGGGGATGGTTGCCCGTGGGAAAGACCTTCGGAAATCCGTCATGAACCCTTTGATGCAGTCATCTGAAAAAGAAAATGGTTTTGTTACTTTACAATATGATTCAATACTCAATCATTTAATGTTTTACTTTTCATTCAATTTATTTTATGGTGCTGTAAATGTGTGATGATTACATGTATATGTCACATGACATATGTCACAGGGGAGATTGGAATCCAGGGGATCCTCCTAGGGGAGATTGGAATCCCTATCTCCCCTAGGAGAATCTGGAATCCTCATAGTCATAGGGGAGATAGGGGATCCTAGGGGAATCTGGAATCCAACTAGGAAAGATTGGAATCCTGATATTCAGATCCCAATTCAGTAGTAGAAATACTAGAATTCATACCTAAACTTTCAATTAATTTCAGCATAGGCAAACCTATTACTATGAGGATTCCAGATTCTCCTTATTTGAGGACAGCAGATTTCTTTTAACCTCTAGTACATTTCTCATTGAAATGTGTGCTTTCTCATCATGTCCCAGCAAGCTATCTAGTCTGGCACCGTGGGTGATACAGCATATACATGTGGTGGTATTCATGTACATTATTTTTATTCTAACTATCCTGCCAGCTTTATTAGGTTAATATATTGTAGATCAGTAGATTAGATCAGTTGTCTGTCTCACCTAGGGAGGAAATGTCTTCTTCTGACACTGGTCTTGTGTGTGAGTACCCTTGGTGACAGGAAGCGAAAAGGCCAAAAAGCCCTTTCATACTTCTCCTTTATTTCTCTTGTTCTTGTCAACAGGGCCAGGGGGAAGTCAAAGTCGTCCATGAGCTCCTCTGCTTTGGTTACAGCAATGCTGGTCAGCTGCTTGATTGGGGCTTCCTGCAGAAGATAATTTCAGATAAGTCAGAAGTTTTCCATCTATAAACTGTAGTGTAAATGCATCTACCTTTGTGGTAGATATACTTGGCAGTTAGAGGAATATGAGATTTGTGTGGTCTTTAGAATTATGAAACATTATATTACAAACACTGCAAGAGTTTCTACACTTACTTTATTTTAAATCATGGAAAGAGACAAAATCCTGTTTAAAGTAGTTTTGTCTTATTGATTGATTAACATAGATAGAAATATGAATTACATGCATGTAATATCCAGCTGTCAAGCAAAACAATTGCTACTCTTAATTTAAGATAACCTTAAGTCAAGAAAATGTATTGGTCACCTTCAGCATCACATGCACGTGGTTCCCCACGAAGCATTGTGCATGATACGCTTGGCGTTTCACGTGAAACTGTTGGAGAACCGGATCCAGGAGGGCTGTGAGTGGTCCAACAGTGATGTTGGTCCCGGCCTTCTCCCGCATTTCCTGAGCTCTAGCTTCCTACAATTGGAAGTCAAGATATTTTCAATTTAGGCCAGAATTACATTCATGTTTCTTATGAGTTACAAGTAAACATCTAGGATTTGATCAAATTCTTCATAATTCAATCTTAGCTTAGGCCATGTTGATTTGATTATATGGATGACATCCTCCGAGAACCCCAAAACTGATGCGCGCGTGCGAATAAAAAAAAGTTTTGCAAAAAAAAAAGTTGTTTTCATTATGAAATCTACGTGGTCATGAGGGTTGAACAAATGGGACAGAATATGGTTTGGCGAATAATCTAGTCTTCAAGTTCATTTCTGTACAATTTCGTCTTTTTTCGTTTGATTTTGGCATTCTACGACATTGGTATAGTTTTTATTAATTTTTTTGTAACTTATGGTATATTTTTGCTCATTTTGCAACTGCTTTGTACGATTTACAGTATGGTTTAAAACTTTTTTTTTTTTGGAAACGCCCGAAAATTCATGCGCGCGCGGATGTCATCCATATAATCAAATCAACATGGCCTTACCAGCTCCTCCTTTTTCTGTTGGAGTTTCTGGTGTTTGAGCTGCAGGGACAGCATGATGAGGCATTCCTCCTGCCCCTGCAGCATGGCCCACGCCATTAAGTCAACCATCTCCTCCATCTCTGCTTTTATGTCGTCCACTTCCTCCTCGATCGCTGTCGCCTCCTCCACGGCGTTCAGGTATCCTTCTAGTGTATACAAGTCAGGATGTAGCAGCACCTCACCCCTGTCCACCTCCGGGTCTGGTAGGATTGCGCGGGAGAGGTGATGGGCCATCAGGACGTCTAAGCTGTGGAGATCTTTTTCCATCATCTTAAACAGCTTTTGGAAAACTCCCAAGCTCATGTGAAGTGCGGGAAGGCACACCTGAGATGAAAAAGAGGATTCATAACATTTGAGTCAGCTATCTTTTGCCAGATTGACATTAATTTTTTTGCCGATAACTAGAATTCAACTTTTGAGATAATGGGGAGTTGAGAGGAATCAAAGGAAATAAATACAGTCAGAAATTAATCAGACTTTTGTATGTAATGAATACAACTGGCACCTATATCAGGAATAATATACCTGGTTTATTGGCACTTCCAACATGCTTGGTGCGATGACATTTCTAAAGGACTTGGCCTTCCTTATGTCACCGCCCGCTTCCTGCATGAAGGCATTGTGGTTGGCCTCTAGGGTTAGGGTGGTTCTGTCAGCCGGGGTTCGGTCCTCTCCCCTTTCTTCCTGTGGTAGTTTTATACTGGTCCTTTGGATTTCACACCACAAGCAGGGGTAGGTACCTGCATGTACACAAGAGCAACTAAATGTAGGAAAATTTCCAGGTAACCACACAGAATTATTTTTAGTAAGACTACTGGTCTTTAGAATTTGAATGTTACCTTACAACATTGTGTTATCACCAAAGCCTAGATACAGTGTATCTGGTTCTATGATAAGTTGCATTTTTTCAATAGTTAATGAAGAACACATAAAACTTGTATGTATGTTTCTGTATATATGTATATATATATAAACTTATATCATAGAAACACATAGAAAAACAAACTGATAGTTTGCACTCATTATATATATACTAAAGATTCTTGTAGGTCCTGCAAATATATATTCTGACTTGTGCTCTTACCACAGGGTCCAGAAAGGCCGAACCAAAGGGACAGGAGAGCGTAATCTGCAGCAGCAAACACCCGCAGTCTTCTGTCTCTGCCATCCGGGGATCTGAAGATCAAGTGAACATTTGCATCTGTAATTATGGTATGTCAAAGTATTTTCTTTTAGGCATTTTTTGGGAGAGTATCAAACTTTCATATTGACTTTTCATGAATAAATCAAATCATAATGTAAAAGAGTAAGTTACCTCCAAGTGAAGGCCTGCAGACCTGCCACATCTGTGCAAGCAGTCTTGGTGGCTGTGATCAGGTTCTCCCTTGAATCTTTTCCATCAAAGATGGAGAAGACTCTTGTCTTTGCATTCGGGTGTACAGTGTTGAGAATCTGATACCCCATCTTATATAGCTGGCCCCCGTGGTCGCCCAGGACTTTAATCCAAATCTCACTTGCAGGGATTTTCCCCTCATGCCATGTCAAGTGTCTGAAACAAAATAATCTGTATTAGAAGAAAATGGAGCATTGTTGATTTTACCTGTATTACTGCCTAGAATGTGGCTTAGTGTTACTGGGTGATTTGACGTACAAACTTCTGGCTAGTAATTGAGAAAATTCTGATGTATTTTCCAGTAACTGACTTCTTATAATGTATGCAGGTATATTTGAAAAGAGATCTGATTGAAATAGGGATATAATACAAAAGTACAGGCAATAGCAGTTTCATTTCACTCATAGAACAAAGCTATGTGATTTGTAGTTTTTCTTTATTCAAAACAGTGGTCAGCATAGCAGCAGTACATAAAAATTATGGACCGCTGAATTGTGTTGACCTTACATAATCAATACAAAATACTTAAAAAATCAATACAATGTAGGTACAAACAAAGCATACAGATTCAACGACAATGACAATATATACAACACTTTAAAACTAAGTCTGCATTTGACTATTATAGAGTCTGATTGTGTGATGCAGAAATTAATTATGCAGTAATTTTTTTTCCTCTCACCCCTCTGCTGCAATCTTCTCAAGGGTGTCGATAATCGAGCCTCTAACATCGGTCACCCTTGCCACAGGCTGAAGCTTCACCAAGTTGCCCCCCTTTCTGCTACCTTTGGTCACCAAAGGTAGCAGCTCCGCTTCCACTTGATGTTCTTGGAGGTGATCCTTGGCTAGCTGCCGCGACCTTCTCTCGCTTTCACTAGCCACATTGTGGAGTTTTAGCCACCTGTAAAACCCATAGTTGCTCCATTCAGATAAGCCTCATTTTCAATATTGCACAGGTATTGTTTTCAGTGGCTGAGAGTTTCATTTTTTTGCATGTCCATGTAGCAATTACAACAGTTGGAGCAAATCGGACAGATATTTGGTTGCATTTACACAAATTACAGTTAATTGTCAGGGAAATTGCTTTCTTATAGTAATACAATGAATGACTACTTAAAAGCCAACACTAAAATCTGCCACAGAAAGAGCACAAAAAATATTAATTTGTGGTCTGGCTTTTGTTTTAAAATTACTTACCTACGGAGTTTGATGCGTTGCGAATTGTTCAAGCCCAGGTCCAACTGGGCAGACAGCAGGTGGCCAGTGGGGATGGTGATGCTCCCCACATCGATGTCTCTCAGCATATCCTGCAGCTGCTGTCTGCCCAGGGACTTGAGCTCCAAGGACATCTGTTGCTGCTCGTCCCCTCCACTCTCGATTGCCCGGAGTGTGGCAATGTCCCGGGTCCTCCTCCGACCAGTCGATGCACTGACCTGGCTCGTAGGTTTCCTCGCTTTTGTAACCTTCATCAATGTTATTGGCTGAAAAAAATACACAAGTGATACACTATTATTTAATCATTTTTGTTCAACCCAACACTGCTGTCTGAACTTATTGTTAACTTTTTTTTCCTTTAAGTTTGTGGATCAATGTGGATTCAAATAATACACTACCCTACTGATGTATCTTTATATGTTAAGCATGCTTTTATAGGTTAGAAAGCATATCTGTAAACTCTGTATTCTGATATTGATCTTTATTTCTTTGTTTTGATAGAGACACCCACCAGTCCACCTGTCCTGCAAGTGATCGTCTGCCCATCTGCAGAGGCCGCTAACTGTCGCTTGACCAGGGCGGTGAGAAGTTCATTCTCCCAGGCTGCGATTGCGGCCCCTGCAGTGGACAGTTTCATGAGGACTTGCTGCACAGCTGACATCTCTTGAGGTGCGGCGGGGTGAATCATGTGACAAGGCACACGTGCCTCCTCTGAAGGCACAGTAGCTGTGTTGATATGATCAGAAACAATCATAGTTGTTACAAGTCGATGTCTGAATCTAAAGGTTTAAATGTGTTGAAATATTGAATAATTTAAACTGTAATTCTAAATACCATAACGGTTATTCATTAATATGATACAGCAAGCATTAGATGTGGTCACATGATGGCTATGTATGTAATTCAATGTTGGAACTGTACAAGAAACATTGACATGTGGGGTGTCAGAATTACTCACAAGAACAGTCTTGTGTTTTCCGTGAAATTTGTAAATCGCTACCAGATCACACAATTGTATGAAAATTGTTTTTAACTGTAAGGCCACACCAAGTAAATTTTATGGATGACGTCCTTTGGAGACCATAAATCTAATGCGAGAGGGCGAAAAAAAAACAAGAAGGGCAGACATTGGTCATATACTTTCCGCGCCTACAGTAGTCTGCAGTATATTTTACAGACAAGTGTTGATTATTTATCATCAAATTGAACCCTCTGTCCCTAAGCCACTTCTTTGAGACATCCAGCTAGGATACAAGGAGCATCTGCCTTCACATAAGCCTCTAGTATGATCTTGTAATCCTTAATGTATCCCTTCCTTTACGTAGGCCTCTAGTATGATCTTGTAATCCTTAATGTATCCCTTCTGTGGATCACACACCTCGTGCCACGGAATGAACTTGGGATACCCCCAGTCACCATCATTCTTGTAGAAGACATGATTTACTACCCTCTTATGAATGTTTACCCCTTCCTTTACGTAGGCCTCTAGTATGATCTTGTAATCCTTAATGTATCCCTTCTGTGGATCACACACCTCGTGCCACGGAATGAACTTGGGATACCCCCAGTCACCATCATTCTTGTAGAAGACATGATTTACTACCCTCTTATGAATGTTTACCCCTTCCTTTACGTAGGCCTCTAGTATGATCTTGTAATCCTAATGTATCCCTTCCTTTACGTAGGCCTCTAGTACTGATCTTGTAATCCTTAATGTATCCCTTCCTTTACGTAGGCCTCTAGTATGATCTTGTAATCCTAATGTATCCCTTCCTTTACGTAGGCCTCTAGTATGATCTTGTAATCCTTAATGTATCCCTTCTGTGGATCACACACCTCGTGCCACGGAATGAACTTGGGATACCCCCAGGCACCATCATTCTTGTAGAAGACATGATTTACTACCCTCTTATGAATGTTTACCCCTTCCTTTACGTAGGCCTCTAGTATGATCTTGTAATCCTTAATGTATCCCTTCCTTTACGTAGGCCTCTAGTATGATCTTGTAATCCTTAATGTATCCCTTCCTTTACGTAGGCCTCTAGTATGATCTTGTAATCCTTAATGTATCCCTTCTGGGGATCACACACCTCGTGCCAAGGCATGAATTCATTCCTCCCCCAGCTGCTCCCATTGTCTGGTCAACCGTACGAATAAATTTCTTCACACCTTTCTTTTGAGGAATCAACCGTAGCTCCTTTTTCTTTTCTTTCTGTCTTTGGATCAAACATGACATAGCTGATTGTTTTCATTTTTTAACCAGGCACAGGCTTTCAGCGTTACGGGTTTCACGTCAATCTGACGATTTGCGGCACTGTCGTGACTCTTTGGTCATAGTTACAGGAAGCGGAATTTCTTGTTTTTTTTCTAGGAACAGGCCAAAATCAATGCGCGCGCGGACAAATAATCAACACTTGTCTGTAAAATATACTGCAGACTACTGTAGGCGCGGAAAGTATATGACCAATGTCTGCCCTTCTGTTTTTTTTTCGTCCCTCTCGCATTAGATTTATGGTCTCCAAAGGACGTCATCCATAAAATTTACTTGGTGTGGCCTAACATCATGGGCACTGCATTTGTAGATCTTTTGTAGATCTTTATATATTCCCCAACATTTTGTGCATTCTTATAGACTCACCACAATCACTTGGGGTGCAGGCATCCCTCACAGGCCTCACGGGGGGGCGAGACACTCCCTCACAGGGGACAGGGATCCGTCATAGGGGGGCGGGCATCCCTCACAGGCCTCACGGGGGGGCGGGCATCCCTCACAGGCCTCACGGGGGGGCGGG